CACATGATGACGTGATGGTTAATGTGTTGTGACCTGCTATTATTGGGTTTTGATGGAGGGTGGTGTGAGTTAGTCTAAAGTCAATATGAACTGCTAAATCTAGATGCATGTCACCTATCCGAGTATATTTGACACAATTTACATCTAACAACTGACGACAAACATTACCCTTCATGACAAACAGCAATAAAAGAGATAAACGTAGGAAATAATTCAAGTTCTTCTTCCATAATATATCTTTACAATCCATCATCATCAACATCATCATAGCACTGCCTGCCATCCATCTATCCGCTTTATTTTTCGCCTTATCCACGAGACGAGTCTTACGCTATGTATAATAATAAATATTATATTGCAAAAAATAATAAAAATTAAAGAGGAAACAAGACACAAGACGCGAGATAAAGCAATCTAATGAGTGCTGCTAGAATTGTGCGTTTGTTTATTACCGTAATTAGTAATCATTTTGAAAAATGTCAGTTTGCTATTTGTCGCTACTTGTCAGTCGTTATTTCTTATTTTAAATTGAAAATTGCCTCGTGTCCCTGTTTTGATGTTTATCTCGTCATGATTGAAGTTAAGTGATGTGTTTCTGTTGCTGGATGATTGCTTTTTTAATGGTAGTTGCTGGATTGATCGCGAGAGTGAATGAGATGCAGTTGCAAGTCTTAAATTCTAAACTTCAGTTAGATAACCTCAAAATGACCTTTAAAGCCACATAAACTCTCACATCCAGACACAAAACCACATAAAACAAGGAATGAGGACACTCAAATTGCCATTTTTATAGCCGAAAAGAGGACGAGAAAGCCAGAGAGTCGTTAATGTTTTTTCATTTGCCTTTCACTCGGGGCATGTTCTGTCAACAAATACTTTTTTATGGCATTTAACTTCATTGCATCCTCCTGGAAGCAAATAACGCTACTTCCTGCCCACACATTATCTTACTATGTCGTGATAAATTGTCATCAACAGTAGCTTTAGCTATACGCAGGCACGATGACAATTATGGCCTAAATGAAATTGTCCCGTTGTGTAAAATAAAAAAAAAGAGCCAAAAAATTTATTTCCTTTAAAAAAAATGTTTCTTTCTGGTGGATGGAAAATTGTTTAGGCAAGCAGAAATAATTTTTATACACACTCTATATTGGGCTGCTTGACCTCAATTTTTCAAATTTCTTTTTCTTCACACTTTTTTGGGTTGACTGTGCTTTAGAATTCTTTGTATATTTCAAATATTTTTTGGTTGGTACTTTTGTGTTTGAGGGGAAGATAAGGTGCTTTTATGTAAAGCATAAGATTGAGTTGTTAAATTTCAAGTTGATTTTATAATTTGTCATTTAAGATGAATTTTAGTCGAACGTTAAATATCGAAAAAGCAATATTATAGCTTCATAATATGTAAAATATATCAAAGAATGGGTTTGAATCCCAATAAAGTTAAAATAAATTTAGTATTCAGACATTTTAATGCGTATCTTTTTAATGAATTTTTTTAATTTTTTTTTTTCCAAAATATCCATTCAGAAAACCAAAAATAAACCGTCCACATAAAAATTTCCAAGAAAAAATGAAGCCTTTCCTCAAGCATATTATTTAACCCGATAACTAGCAAAAAGAAGGCGAAACATCACAAAATTGCGAACATGATGATGATGATGACTTTTATGAAGGCACGAAGGCAATAGACGGAGGCTATTTTTTATGTATCAAACAAAAAAAATTGTTGAAGAAGGCGTAAAATTAAAGGGAAGAAGGTTAGATGTGATGCTAATGGCGACAAGAATTTGTGGCACGCAAAAATGAAGTTACTGCTGTAATTTCGTCAAATTTTTGAATTTAGAAAAAAGTTCAATGATCTGGTTTTTAATCTAATTTGAAATTAAACAGCGTCCATAACCTCAAAGCAGCAAGTCTAACCTCAAATTAAAAAGCTTTATCTCGAACTCATAACTAACGTTTATTTCGATATATTTCAAATTCATAAATATTATATATTTATATTCGTTTCATTTACGTTGCGTCCATTCAGCCATGCTTGGCATCTGGCAAAAAAATTATATTGTTTTCATTTAGGGGGGCGTTCACTTATGACGTCCGAAATTAACGGTCATTTTTCAAAAAGGAAGAATGGATTTCCAGGAAGTTCTATTGTTCTTTTCTTGCTGACCCCCCCTGGACGTCATAAGTGAACGGCCCCTTAAAGGTCTTCCTTAACCCTCATCTAAATTGATTAGCTGCTACAATATTTCATACAATAAATGAAATTATTTTCTTGGCGTTATTTTGTTTTTGGTGCTAAGTGAGTTTATTTGTAAGATGAAAGGATAGAGGCGGTCCTTCATAGAATCCCCATCTTTGGCAACACCCCTGCTATCTGCTATTGTTAAAAATTTAAAATACAGCAAAAATTTTAAAGTTGAAAAAAGTTATAAAATCGATCGAGCATGACCTTTCGATTTTTAAGGATCCGATCCAGAACCTTCAAGGAACCTTTTCTAATTTTCTATGTCAAAGATGCATTGACCATAATCTACTTCTTGGTTTGTCTATAAATTTGACAAGTTACAATCATAAAGTCACTGAATTCAAATTTCAAAATCAAAACCAATCCATCCCCAAACCACAAAATCTAATTTTCTCCCTCATTTGCTTTTGTTTTTCTTCAAAGATGCGCAAATTTCTTAATGGCATGGAAGTTGATTATGAAAGATCGAATCGAATCTACACATTAAACATTATTTCTATGGCCAGTATGAAAAAAGAGCCGGAAATATTTGTGCCTTTATCTCGCATCATGCTCATAAATCATTTTCTTCTTGTTCTCAATACACAACGCATTTTTCATGGGTAGAATGAAGCACACAAAAAAAATCAAAGATGATGATGAAGGATGAAAATAGGGTACAGAGTGATGGAAAAGCATTAAACATTAAAACACCAGACGTCTCCGGGTAGAGGCAGCAGCAGCAAAAAAAACTATTAACCTTATACGCACTTTTCATTTATTTATGTATGTGATACATATAAATTTTATCATGACCAATCTCATTCTGTTAAACATATATACTTAAAGCAGCAGAAAAGCAAACATTTAATGAAAAAGAAAAAGTCATAAATAAGCAAAAAAAAAATGCTCATAATTTATGGTCGTTGTTATTATTTGATGATGCGGAAATTCGAGAAAGGTTTTTTTTTCGGCTCTCAAAAAAAAAAGTTTTCAGGCTAGCAGCCATTATGGTCAATTTGACAAGCCACTTTTATTTTGTTCAGTTACAAAACATTTAATCGCAGTCGTGTGTACGATATGGCGGATGTAGGGGGGTGTCCTTGTGAGAACTTTAGGCTATAAAGATTTTTAAATAATTTTTTTAATAGGAACAGAACTTCAAGCTACCCTTTGTCCCTCATCCAACCCCTTAGATCCAACCCCCTTCAAAACAAAAATTGTATTTCCTGACAAAATAATCCCAATGACCCGAGAAAGAAAGTCGCCACTGATTTATGTTATGCTCATACTGACTACCGCTGTTTTCTGCTGTTATTTTTCATGAATGATGGTTTCATTGACTCCAAGCGAAAAGAGAGAAATAGGATGTTACTGAGTGAGCTATTGTCGTTGAGCTATTCATGCTCAATTGAGCATTTCCGAATGAAATCTGTTTTTTTTTCGCATATGTATGAATAATCTTTTATTGGTTTGGTTATTTTGGGTGGTTTATGAATATGAATGATGTTTTGGTATGGTTGAGTTTTGGGTGTTGATCAAGTGACTTATTCATCACTTTTGACCATTATTTACCTCTCAATAGAAATACTATAGAAATATAGTCTATATTTAAGTGAGATTCGAACCCATACTCAACTAATCAAATCTGGGTTTGCAATCTATCTTTCAATCTACGACATAATTGAACTGCAGTTCCTATTACTTAAAATATGAGTCCCATCTTTCAATATGGTCCAACTTATCACAAAACTCCCCATAAAACTCAAAATTGTTGCATGTAAAATCAAAATAAAATCCCCACTTTTTTAAAAATTCCAATCTGTCAACCCTCCCCCACCCCAAACACACCCTCCAAAATAATAATTTATTTCCACTCAAAAAAGAAGATCTTAAAGCGTTAAATCACTTAAATGATGTAAATAATGAGCAGAAAAATACTTTTGGCGTCTACAAGACGAGTCAGTTAATATTGATTTTAAGCAACATCATCAATGATGGAAGCAAGGATATAAAAAAAATTGTTCCTTCATTCTCTCTTCTTCTGTGCCTGTACGTGAAGACATAAAAAATTATTTTTTTTGCCATGAGAAAGAAAGTCTCTTGAGTGGGTGTACGTGTGTGCAAAAGCCGATAAACATGAACTTAATGGAAGGATCAAGAAGAACTTTTTTCTTCTGCTAAGGAACCAAAAAATTTATTTTAAAAAATAATTCAAATAAAAGAAGAAAATTTCTCTTTGTCACTAAAAATTCATCGCTGCGATAATAAAACATTTTCTTTCCCTTTCAATAATGCACAGAAGAAGAAGCAAAAAAGAATTTATTTTTTTCGCTTTCGCTTTTCTTTTTCGTCTGCTCCTTCTTCTTTTATCGTCGTCGTCGACCCGTATTCGACTCACACACAAATGTGTATATATATTCAACATAGCGACGTAAAATGGGGTGATTATGGAAGTACATGTCGATGATGGGATGATGAGGGTGGCAAAAAAGTCGCCTGATTTTTCATTCACATCGTTTGAATGTATTTGTGACAAAATGTTTGAATGTGTTAGTAAGAAAAATAGAAAATGAGAATGTATTGGTAAATACGCAGTGTATTTGATTCCATCCCACACCCCGACATCATCAAATGATGAGAATTGAGAAATTTTTTTCAGTTTCCGACGTCTGCTACAACCCCCGTCGCCTTGCTATAAATTTTTTCACCCCTCTCAGCTTTTACTTGTGTTAGTCACCGCTCCTAATTTTTTTCTCTTTCTTCTTACATCATCCGCACATTTTAATGTTGTTGTTGTCGATTCTACTACTTTACTCGTTTGTTGCTTCTTCTTTTTTAACATTCGAATTTTTTTTCTACTTCTGAATAGAAATGAAAATTTCGCAAAATGTGAAAAAGGAGAATTATTTTTTACCAAAAAGTATAAATTGCGGTATTTTGCTGAGCTACCAAAACGTTCTTTATTTAAATAAGTATTCTTCATTGCCGATTGTGACGCAATGGATAGAAAACCTTGAAATTAAGGGATGGCAATAATTTTTGTTGTACTTGTTTTGCTTGTTTTAGGTAGAAATTATGGACAGGAATTATGAAAGAATGTTAAGTGGAGAGTTATTATTCAAAATATGCGAGGGTTTGAAAATTAGTAAGACAAAATTGATGAAAAGCAACAAAACTTAATAAAAATAAAATTTTGGGATAACAAATGTAAAAATCTAGTACAATTTTAAAAAAATATGGTACTTGAATTGAGTTACAGTTTAAATGTTTAATAAATCTAGTATACTTTTATTTAGCTTTAGTAAAATCTAGTATAATTTTAGATAGCTTTAGTAAAGTCTAGTTCAATTTTAGATAACTATAGTAAAATCTGGGACAATTTTAGATAACTTTGGTAAAATCTAGTACAATTTTAGACAACTTCAGAAAAATCTAGTAAAATTATATTTGAAAATTCAGTAAAATCTAGTACAATTTTGAATAAAATTAGTAAAGTCTAGTCCAGTTTTTAAAACTCTTGCACAGTTCTAATTTTCAATAAAAAATCTAGTCCAAAATAAAATCTACTACATCAAGCCACTCCCTTGAATATATACATAACAATTGCAGGATTATTCATTTGACATTGACATAATATAACCTCAAAAATATAAGCTAATTATAGTTCCGACTTTTAATACCTCATTATTTCCCTTCAAAACATGCAAATCCTTCTGAATTCATTACAAATAAAAATTTCTTGTTCTATTTTCACAGACTGAGTCGTCTACAACCTCTACTACGCATAAAAAGAAGGAGAAAAAAAAACGATAACAGATCATTTTATATCCTATAGGTGTGGTCGGAAAATGAAAATAAAAAATTGGAGATGACATTACTGTCAGTCTGACTGATATTTTCATGCATAACTTTAGTGTGTGGTGTGAATTTATATTTATGAAAATCATAAAATATTTATAGATAAATGAAATAGGAAAAAATTGATTGATAGAATTGGAATTTTGTTTTTCATTTATTAGGCTAGAAATTTTGCGTAGGATGAGTTTAACATATTTATGGCAATGTTGCTAGGCTTAGAATTTTGATATTTTGTATCGTTAAAAAACTTTTTTTGCTTCAAACCTCTTTAAATATGAATTTTTAATAAAAGGTTTTTTTTTCAAAATTAGAGCAAAAATTTAGATCATTTAACATGAACTCAGCACAACATCAAACAGTTACTATAGAGACTCATTGACTCATTAATGATAATTTCTAGGAAGCCTCCATTTAGATTCAATTAAAATATTTATTAAATTGAGTAGTTAAAAATTATCAACATAATGATTTTGATCAAAGAATATTGGGATCATTATTAGCATAAAAAGGATTTTAGTATTTTTTCCAGGAAAAGTTGACGAGGAACATTTTGAAAAAAATATTTTAAAATACGAAAAAGTTGTTTTAGGTTCTTCAAATCTCGATTTTTGAAATTGATTCAGAAAATTGATGAAAAATCGCACAGTTTTACCAGAATTCCTATTAATCCGGTAGAAATCTGTCCAAATAATTAAAAATCAGTTTAAAAACTGCCCGACTCACAAATTTCTTTTTTATTTGTCTACAACTCTATTTAAATCCTCAAAAAAAATACTAGATTTTTTTCAAAATTCCGGTAAAAATCAACCAAATGTGACAGAATTCTACCAGATTTTTTTTTCAAGTAGGTTTTGTCGATTTTGTGAAAAAACAGTGAAACTTTATTAAACGACAGGCAATAAAGCAGAATGGGCAGATTTCTTTAACATTCAGACAGTTTTTACTAGAGCTCGAAGTCGACTCGACTCCATACAAAGTTTCATCGACTTCGAGCTCTGGTTTTTACTCAAATTTTACGAACTGAATCAAATTAAATCTTAAAGTTTCAAGCTTAATGAGAACCCCTTCACCCTATCCCTTCTTTAATAATATAATTGCGTCTCTCCACCATAATTAATATCAATTAATATTTTCAAGCTTCAAAAGATGTGAATTGAATGAGAAAAGGAGCTAAAACGAAGCAAACTTTCAGTCAATGTCATACGACATTTTTCCTTTTTTTCCTTTATGTTTAAAATTAATTATGGATTGATAATTGTTTTTCATTATACAAGATAATAACATGAAAAAAGAGTTTTTTTCCACTCAAACTCATTTGTAGGTAAAATTCAACTTTCACTTTTAGGACTCGTTAAGTGTCGTTAAGTTGTTTTTCCATCCCTCCTTTCTTTCTTTGTTTATATTTCTTAAGGAACTACACTGTGTGTGTGTGTGTGTGTGTCTAGTAAAATTCCATTTTTTGAAAGTAATTGAAACATAAAGTGATTGTTGAATAATTAATAAGAACCAATTTGTTGAATCGTTTCATACTTGGTTAAAGTATTTTCGATGCTACTTATCCTTTATGCTTGAATTCTTGGAAAATATGATATGACAATTAAGATTGACAAGTTGAAGTTTGAAAAAATAATGGAAAATAAATATGAATTCATTTTAAGGCAAAAGAAAAAATTTTGTTAAAAATTTTTTTTTTTTTTTTTTTTTTTTTTTTTTTATAGTATAAAAATCTGTTCAAAATCTGACCAATGTGACAGAATTCTACCGGATTTTCAAAATTTGAATTTTTATCTTAAATGTCATCACCAACCAAGTCTCCTGACCACTTTTCTACTATAAATCTCTCTCAATGAAGACAAGATTCTGAATTGACATTTTCATTCCAGTTTATATCCTCAATTCAATCAATTATTGATCATATAATAAGAATTTCATATTCCGTCGTAATGAAAAATTGAAAGGAATAAGAAGATAATTTATTTATGAGATGGATTAGCTGTGGCATTTTCCTATTCATTCATATTTGGATTATTTAGGTTAAAGTAAAAGTTTCGGAAATATTGATAAGGATTATGCTGAGTTATGAAGCCACTTTAGACTATAATAATTGTATTCCAGAATAATTGTACACAAATGATAAGTACACAAAGAATTTGATGAACTGCTGATTACTTATTAAGGACATACTTTATTTAATGCCTTATTTTTGTCTTCCCATGACAATTTTATTGAATCGTAATGTCTTAAAAGTTAATAATTTATGTTATTGAAGGTGTAATGATGTGCTAGGGTGATAAATTGAATATTTCATGTTCCTACCTAATAATCTAATACCAATTGTCCCAATAATCCATTTGAATTTTCATATTTCCCTACTGTTGAATGTCCTTGAATTAATAATAAATAGACATCAATAAAAAAATTCCCTCAACGATCATTAAAAATTGAAGTTTTTAACCAGCTTAGTCACTTGTACATAATGACCTTATTTATCAATCAACTCCAACTCTTTTTTGATTCAATTCTATTGACATTGTCAAGCATGTTGCCATAATGACACTTTATCCCTTTCAATTCTTGATAGATTTACTTACTAAAGACATTCAATCATCGTCCTTTTTAACTCGGTTATGCTAACATGAGCGTGAAGATGGAGGGCAATGAGTGTTTAAATAGGAAAGTGCAAGGGAATTTTGTCAGAATTTAGAAGATTTTTTTCAACATGTCAGAATTCTGGCGGACTTTTGAGAAATTTATAGAAAAGTGCCAACAACATAAATTTTAGAAATTCGAGAGATTTGAGAAAAAAACTGTTAAAAATTCCAGAAATAAGCAAAAAAAAGTCCGCTGAAAATCCGACAAATTTGCCAGAATTTCACCGGATTTTTCAAAAAATCCTGTTTTTCATAGAAATCTCAACCGACCCATTCCACCACAAATCTATATTCAATTTAACATTACAACATCCACTGATGCTTCTTTCACATTCCAAGAAAAATAACAGAAAAAAAAGCTATTAAGATATATGATGATAACATGGAAGGCATTAATGTGGAAAATTTATCCTCTCATGAGAAATCCATTTTCTGGTTTGTCTCTATCTATTAAAATACACAACACAACATTACATGCAACTTTTCTTTTGCTTTTAAAAACAAATTTTCATTCCAAATGATTTTTTTTTTGATGAAAATTTGAGAATAGAAAAATAAAAGTCTATCGGATGTGAAGCTTTTTTGTTCGTAAATGTGTGAGAATTAAGAGAGATAGAGAGAATGAAATAGAATGAAATATTACCCGGTCATTAATCATCAGAGCTATACGAGCATATAGTATGCGATGTGGGAAAATGTATGCTCTCAATGTGAAATTTTTCTTTTAATTTCCATGCCTTCCCTCATCCGTTTTTCATCGCAATCGAGAATGAAGAATTTTTATCGTCAAAATAGATAAACAGAATGGAATTTATCGGAATGTAAATCATGTAAGCTTGTGACCTTGAAGACTAAGTGCCTTTTATTGCTTTTATGTCTCCGAAATCATATTTTAATGTTTTTTGTAGGCTGTTTCCCAGTGATGTCTACTGAAAAATTCAGATCAAATTTAGATCCCGAGATGACCAAATTTAACTCTTACTGAGATGACTAAACTAAGCTCGACCCGAGATGATCAACTTAGCTTGACCCGAGATGATCAACTTAGCTTGACCTGTGATGACTAAACTTAGCTCGACCCGAGATGATCAACTTAGTTTGACCCGAGATGACCAAACTTAGCTCGACCCGAGATGACCAAACTTAGCTCGACCCGAGATGACTAATCATAGCTTGACCCTAGATGATCAAACTTAGCTCGACCCGAGATGACATAATTCATCAAAATGAAAAATCCACCAATTCATCATCCATTTATAGACACTATAGATACATTGATTGAGTAGATTTTGCATGAAGTCAGGAAAATTCCCATTTAAACAGAACAAAAAAA